TATAAAAACTATTTGAGGTTTCCACTTTATATTGACATCAAAAATTACTCAAAAATTCATATAAACTTAGGATTCAGACCAAACAGTAATGTATGTAACCAATAAGACAAATTAAGTCATATCTCTGGATCCACTTATGACATCAGAATGATCCAGGTATCAAAATGTAGCTTTTAAAGCAGGAATCTGAAAACATAATGAGGTCATTTTGACCAAATTTGACTTAATCCTCATTTCAGTATGATGGGTCACATATATTATGGCTTTGGGTTGGACCACCGATGACATCTACACCCACTACACAAGTTTGGACTCCTGCAGACATACCATCACGTCTGTAGATCAATCATTAACCGGGAGCCTTTGCAAAACTATGTGAGGGGTTTTTGGGTTATTATGAGTCTTGTACTGCACCAGGACTATGCAGTATGCAGATGTTTATGGAAAGTAAACAATTGGTTTATTAAAAGATAACAAGACRAATGTGCTTCTGTTCACATGTGACACAGTTTAAGTTGTCTTCTCACCGGCATCCCCCCAATGGAACGAGCCTCACATTCCTTCCAGTCCTGCCTGCTGACCACGCTGCAGTTGGTCTCCTCAACGTCCAGAGTCAGGTAGTAAACCACGCCTGCGTCTTCCTGTCACACAAACATACAAAAACAGTTCAATTCATAGCTTTCAAATCAAACATCAACACAAGAAGATGTGGGAATTTTGGCAGATCTGTGTGTCTAAATAACAGAAGCTGTCCAGAAATATTTCTACGTTTCCATGACCAACGGATCATCTCTACGTGCTTCACTGAGTCGGAACAGATGCGTCCTCTGCAAAACAGCAGATAAATCGTTACTAACGCTCACGGTGTTGAATGTCTGAAAACACAAATGTGTTTTTTTTAAATCATGGACTAAAGCTGATAAGACTTAGAGATGACCTCAGCTAAAAACTGAATGCTGTATCTGTTAATAAAACTTACAGTGAAGCTGTTATAAACTATAAATAAGGAGTTCACTGCATGCTCACTCCAGTTCTGAATGAATGGAAATTTCCTTTAAATCAGATTTGTTCCAGTTTTGGTGCATAATGTTCAGAATTATTGTTTTTTATACCTAACACTACACATTCACTTGTTAAAAATGTTAAAAAAAATATATAAAATCCATTTTTTTAATCTTGTCCTGACAACAAAAAGCTCTGTGTTTGGATCTGGATTGAAACAAACCAGAAAACTGGACATATTTTTTTTTAGAGGACTTATGTTTTTGGATCTCTACGCTACTTTGAAGAAGAACTTGATGTAAGACAGTTGTTTCAGGGGGTCTCACATGGCTGGACTTACATGGTTGGCCGAGTGGACGTTGGACAGGCGGTGCAGCGAGAAGACGTAGCCCTCTGTCCGGTCCAGGTTGATCTTGCTGAGAGCCAAATGAGCAGCGCTCACCGCTGCTGGGTCATCACACGAGCCCGCCTGCAGCCCATGGTCCACCGGGGCACCGTAGACGCACCCCAGCACCAGCAACAAAAGGACGCAGGTCTTCATCATAAAGACCTGGCTGTGACTTTGTTTCTGTGACACCCGTTCTCTCACACACAGCCTGGTAGGAGAGGTACCCAGATGGAGGACTGATGGCCTTTTATATCCTACCCTCTCTCTGTGACTTTCATACAGCCACAAAACAACAGCCCCTCCTGTCACCTAAGGCAAATATAACCCTTGACCCCTGCTCCATCCCTAAACAGTCATGTCTAAGAATGTCTCATCTATTTACCAACCAATCAGCTACTGTCTAAAATTATCAGCCCAGGAGTTTCTCGCTCTTCTTTTTGATCAGTCCGGCCAATCAGTGGGCAGCAAGTCACATGCTCTACTCTTTGCACCTAGTTTAATCAAGGACAGGGTTGACGACTAAAGTTATAAACAACAGCCGTTTAAAAAAAACTAGTTTTAGTGACTGTAACAGAAAACAGATCATTATATTGATAAATCCCTAAAAGTGCACTGTGCAGCCAAAGCAACCTGCTCATGCTCACTCTTGACTTTTAACACAACCTCTGCAGTCCTGTGAACAAACCCCACCTTTAGTTAACATCTACCCTCTCACAGCATCACACAAACATCCAAATATTAAATAATCTGAGTAGATCATGATATTAAAGTTGTGCAGGGTTTGTTGGTAATCTTTGCACAACACGGCAAACATGAAGGCTCCAAAGGTAGAGAGGTGGTGCTTCTGTACAAAGAGTAAAAGTGCTGCACAAGTCTCGAATCGTGCCTCACACAGCATATCTTTGTATTTTAGAATAGAACTGAACTTTATTGCCATTGCACATGTCACAAGTACAAAGCAACGAAATGCAAAGCAATGAAGAGGCAGTCTTTAAATTGCATCTCAACCACATAATATTTGTAGCCAACAACAAGCTTCTAAGATAATTATTGGCTATTTTTGGGGGGGCTGAATGGATGGTTTTAATTTAAATGGTTTGATTCTTGGTTCCACATATTTTTGGTAGGGTTCAGAGACTGTTCCATAAACCTAACATCAGCTTGCTGTATGCAGGCAGAAACCAGTTCTAATGTGGGTTTGGAGTCATGGCCTTGCATCAATAGCACAACACAATGAATCCACAACCACGCTTATAGCTACGCCACCTAACGTACTTGTCCTTGTCCCAGCTCAGTCTTCATCTCCAATCATATAACTTTTCTCCAGAGGACATTAGGTTTGTCTATGTGGTCAGTTGTGGATTAACCCTAGCCCTAACACAAGCACAACCACAACCATGCCTGCAGCTGCCTCATCTAACATCCTTCTTGGCCTTTGGGCCAAATAGCTCAATCTCATATCATATAACCTTTGTCCAGAGGACATTAGGCTTGTCTATGTGGGCAACTGTGGATAAACCCTAAACCTAACCCTAATTTACGGATGTTGATTTTGAAGCGGGAGCTTCTTTCTTGGTTGACTCTTTCTCAGTTCACGATGATGTAAAACTGTCTTCATCCTGGACTAGGATGAGAATGCTGGGGTTCCAGTAGTTTCCACTTCATGGCAAGTTTGAGCTCTGCTGGTTTCTGGGCTGTTCCTGAATCTCCTAAAAGATTTCCTCCAAGTTAGACAGTTTGGGTATTTTAGAAATATGAAAAAGGAGATCCACTAAAACGAGTTGTAGTTGTGTTGTTTGACACATCATCTTGAAATCTAAAGTTGTTTAAACCTGTGTAAAGGGCTCGACACACGGGAGGCGACGTCGCTCGCTCTCCATTCATTTCC